AAAAAAATATTCTTCAAAGGGAGCACTGACCAGCGCCTGGGATGCATACAGGCTCTGCGGGAGGCTCTGCTTTCAGAGCCTCCCGCCTGCATTCACTCCATAAGACACACATACATTTCCCCTTACTTTTTAGGAGGGAAAAAGTGCGTCTTATGGAGCGAAAAATATGGTATATATATTTCAATCATTTTACAACCATTTTAACATTTCAGAACTTGACTTCCTTCCTCCTCTTTCTGCGGTTCCTTAAATTTATATTTATCATTTCCTGCCTATTCTGAATTAACTTAACTTATTATTTTATTCATCTACTTTAATTATTTACTCTTCAGAAACTACAGGTTATTACAATAATCCTGCCAATTTCCTTATCTGTTTATGATTTATTTGTACATATTCAATAAACCATTTCTATTCTTTTATAAAAAGTTTGTTGTCTTGATTTCTTATTTTTCTGGTAAGTTTCGTGATTTCTGCATAATCCGTGAGTTTTTGTATCCAGTCTTCTTTTGTCAGGACTTCTTCTTTTCATTTTTGAGCCAATAATATTATTGCTGCTGTAGTCACATGCATGAATTAATTTCTATACTGTTTAGGTATACCCCTAAAATTCCCAGAAGGAAAGCTTCTGGGTTTTTTTACAAATGTTATTTTAAATATCTTTTTCAATTCATTGTATATCATTTCCCAGTAAGCTTTAATCTTACTATAAGACCACCACATATGATATAAAGTACCTTCTTTATCTTTGCATTTCCAACACTTATTCAATTTTGATTTATACATTTTTGCTAGTTTACTCGGTGTTAGATACCATCTATATAACATTTTCACATAGTTTCTCTTAAAGCATAACATGCTGTAAATTTTATAACTGTATTCCACGATCTTTCCCATGCTTCCATATCTATCTTAATCAATCTCTATTTGCCAATGTATCACTGAAGATTTTACTTGCTCATCCTTTGTTTGACAGTCTAATAATATCTTATACATTTTAGACAGCACTTTAACATTACATTCCAACAGATCTCTCCATTTCTGATATTTGTTCCCCAAACCCTAGTTTCTTATCTTTCTTAAATGCTTCATTCAGTTGATGATATTGTATCCATGTTGTTAACTTTCCTGATAAATCCTTAAATTCTTTCAATTTAAACTTACCTTGCTCTTGCTTTAATAAAGTTCTATAAGTTGCCCAACCTTCTATCTTATTCTTTTTCTTAACTGCTATGGCTTCCAACGGTGAGAGCCAAAGTTTTTGTCTCCAATAAGTTTTTATATTTATCCCATATTCTATACAACTTTTCCTGATTATATGATTTGTAAAACCCTCCTTTACTTTCACCTTTTCTACCACAGATAGGCGTGGCAACCAAAAATATTATCATGACCTTCTAAATCTAAGGTATCTGGATTCTCCTGTGTCATCCATTACTTCAATCAACAAAAACAAAATGCTTCGTAATATAATCTCATATCTGGCAGGGAGAAACCACCTTTCTCTTTTGCATCTATCAATATTTTACATTTTATTCTCAGGTTTTTTCCTTGCCAGATATATTTAGAAACATCTTTTTGCCATACATTGAAACAATCTGTCTTGCCAATCAACGGAACTGATTGAAACAACAATAGCATTCTTGGCAATATTCATTTTTATAGTAAACACCCTGCCTAACCGTGAAAGTTTCATTCTACTCCAAATTTGTGGATTTCTTTTAATATCTTCACAGGTTTTTAAATAACTATCTTTATATGGATTTATATTATTTGCTGTTAACCATACACCTAGATACTTGACCTTCCTTTCAATCTTTAGACCTGACACATCTTGTAATTTATTTTTACTCTCATCATTCATATTTTTACCAAAAGTTTGGTTTTATCTTTATTAATCTTAATATCTGCTACATCTCCAAAAAAATTTACCTCTTGTAATACTTTTTGAGATTGACTCTATTGGTTCTACAGATATCACCATATCATCAGTTTATATTGTGTCTGTCCCACTCTTATACCTTTAATTTCTTGATTACATCTTATTCTTTGCACCAATACTTCTAAAACTAATATAAACAACAAGGGTGACAACAGGCAACCTTGTCTCATTCCTTTAGTTATTTTACAATTCTCAGTCAGTACATTATTTACTATCAAATTAGCTGGCCAATATATATTGCTCTGACTCCTGCAAAGAATTCAGTCTTGTGAATCTTCACCTACAGTTTGAAGTAGACTATGGGACAGGGGAGATATTGGGATCAGTTCACAATTAAACGTGAACTTACCTAATTTTCAGTTTCCGAAACAAAAACACATAGTACAGAACGTGGACTTCTCCAAATTTAGCAGTGGTGTGCACAGTAATGCACATGATAGTGTAAAGTGTGCCTATGAATGCATTTCAATAGTGAAAATAACATTAAAATGCATTATGTTAGGGGAAATTGCTTTGCGAAGATGCATATGTTAAGCAGAATTTCACACAAAAGTGTGTATATTGGGAGAAAATCATGCTGAAATATCTTCATGTGCACTTCAAAAAGGCACACACAAAATGATATGAAAATGTGGAGAACTGAACCTTCTGGAAAAAGAGAAACTGAGAGAAACCAAAATTGGTATATTTGCCCATCTCTACTGTATATAATTCAAAGTCATACAGTAAAATGCAATGCAATTGCAATAAAAACAAGGTATTTAGAAGTTGAAAACAATGGAGGGGAAGCTGAAGATGTGCCTTGCCTGAGGTTGCCTTCTGGTCTAACTCTGGCCCAGTCTCTACCTTGATTTTTCACAGTTAAGAGCTCAGCCATGATGCCAGTAGTTCAGAGAATAGTTTGCTGCTTTTGAAAATTTGAGCAACTGAGATTTTGTTCAGCAACTTTGTTAAAAAAAAACAAGACTGGGGCTTGCAGCATGCGGCGTGCTCTGGGTAATAAGATTATCCAACCAACGTTGTATCTCTGTGTTCTGCACTGCAGAACAAAGAGAGAACCATGCATTTGCCAGTACAATGCACAACAACATTACGGTTGTTTGCAGATGGAAAATGCTACACTGCAGTCTCTCGAGCTAGTTAAAGGGGTTCCATTTCAGCGCCGCTACTTTCATCTGTGGAGATCAAAAGCTGTGCTCCAAATTGAATTACTCAAAACTACCATAACATGTGGCAACCTGTAGAAACCAATCTGTATGACGTTTTAATGGCATATGTGTGACACCCGGAAGATTTCTTTTCCTCGGTCCATGGAGGGAAGAGAGGGGAGGGGGAATCAATAATATACAAAGGAGAAACATTCATTTTTTTTTATGGAAATGACCTCCTCTGAGGCAATGTTGTCAGTGTTTAAAAGAGCTTTGAATACCTGTTTTGATATTCTTAAGGCTTCGGGCAAATGTTACATACAGATTTTAAATCAATGTGAGTTTCATGGAAATTACCCAGGGTGGGTAGGGGAATTAGATCAGTCTGTGACTCAGTTCTTTCATATTTATATTCAGATTCAGACTATATAAATAGCATCTTCCTATACATTTAGTGGTGTAATAAACTAAGGGGATGAAAAATTGGAATGGAGAATAATGCCACCTACACCTCTTGGCTCCAGCATTTATTCCTAATTCCCATTTCTGATTAGGGGTTCTTCTGTGTACCCCTAATCACCTTCCTGGAAGTTATTCCCCATTCTGGGTGATGTGAGTTACCCTGATTTCGCTTCTAAAGTGAAAACACAGTGTACAGAATCCTTTCTCCTTCCATTTTATATTGCTGAATTTTGGATGCAGTTTGCCACCTCCGTCAGTTCCTTCATTTGCATCTCCACACACACGCACACTTTTCTACATAAACAAAGCTACATGTACAAATTGCTTTTGTTCTGTTTTGGCAGTGCTTGTACCTGTTTCAGTGTGATCAAGCATATCATGATTGTATTAAGATTGCTATTTTGTGTGTTTGCCTAGAGTTTATCAGTGTGCAGGACTTTTAGCAATGTGCAGGGTTTGAATTTGCACATCATTAAAATACCACCAGTAACATACCCACAAGGAATCTAGATGCAATCATACACACACACACACACACACACACACACACGATGGTAGCTTTTTTAATGGTCGTTTGTATCAATGAAGATGCAAATGAACTGAAGAAAGTGGAAGTGATAGAAAATAACATATGCTTCCATTCTGAAATTTAGTTTAACAATTATTTTAGCTTAACCAGGATCTAGGAGAAGTAGAATAAAGGGACAGAGTGAAGCCATGGAAAGGAAGGGGAAATATTTATTACATGGTTCTCCCTCCCACCTTGTGTTCTCACAGCAATCCTGTGAAACCGGTTAGGCTGAGCCCAAAATCGCTTGAGTGAGCTTCACACCTAAGTGGGGGTTTGAACCCAGGCCTCCCTTCTCCTGGTATGATGCTGTAACCACTGCAGCACACTGGCTTCCAAATTCTTGCATCCTTATGTCTGAATCAAATCCAAATATTTTTTAAAAAATCATTATTTTATTTCATAGAGTTGAGGGCTATTGATGACTACTGGTCACAATAGCTATGCTCTGCCTCCGCAGTTAAGAGGATGCAGTCCTTCAGAATACCAGTTGCTGGAAACCACAGGAGGGGAGAGTGCTCTTATGTTCGAATCCTACTTGCTGGTTTTCCAGAGGCAACTGTTCAGCCACTGTGAGCACAGGATGCTGGACTAGATAGGCCAGCAGGCTTTTCTTACATTCTTAACTTCAGATTCTAGATTCCAGATTCCAGATTTTCAGATTCTCACTGCCACTTTTGATGCAGCAGCACAATCATAACCATGCAGGGATGCAACAAGGCAGCAATTTCACCCACCCACAACAGTCACCACAAGATAACCTTTGCATATAACTCTGACTGGATAAGGTAATTAACCTCCCTCCACTTGCAATTCTTTACTAAGTGAAGTTACCACACCCTGAAAATGGTTCACATTAACAACATTTGGAATTGTATTCACTTCTCCCCTTTCTTGGCATGAGCTACTGTTACTAGGATTAGCCTGTGCCGCTCACATTGTAATGCATCTTCTTTCTCAGCAAGCTTCTTTCTTTCTTTCTTTCTTTCTTTCTTTCTTTCTTTTTCTTTTGACTAGCTTCTTTTTCGCAGACTGTGGTAGCACTGCCAAATCATTAACATCACATTTACTTTGTCGCACAGTTTAGTTGGGTTGAAATGAACAGGACTTGAATGTCAACAACTATGTACCTTATGAGGGTTATACCCAATACAGTTTCAGGCTTGTCCAACTTCCAAGAGACTGCAATCTACTCCCACTATTAAAAAAAACTGGAGGTGATTACCCCCTGGATTGATCAAAGTTGTTGAACTTTTTTTTGGAGATCAAAGTTGTTTTTTGAGGGGGTGGGTGGGAGGGGTCCCAAGATCTACCGTGATCTACCACAGGCACCCTGCGAGATACCGGTATATCGCGATCTACCTGTTGGCCATCCCTGCCCTACATATATGGTGTAGTGACTAGCATGTTGATTTAGGACTTGGGAGACTAGGAATCAAACTCCTCCCCGTACTGGAGCTATGAAGCTCACTGGGTGACGTTGGGGCAGCCGGCCTCTCAGAATAAGTTACTTCACTGTGTTTTTGTGGGGATCAAATGGAGAGGGAGGAAGAACCAAGTATGTCACCTTTGACTCCTTGGCAGGGGCTAGGAATGTAAAAATATATGCCACCCCTGCTCTCGTCTCTCCCCAATGTGCCTTCCTGCTAAATCTGCACTCTGCAAGCACCCTTCTCCCACACCTGGCCAACCCACTCTCTTTTCATCCCGCCAACCCCCCTACTCTTTACACCTTACCCACCCACTATCCCCTCACAGCTTGCCCAGCCCAAACCCTTTTAGAGGAGGATGGGAGATGTTTCAGAGAGCACTATGCCAGACCATTTTCTGAAGTGCTTCCCACCTTGCTTTAAATGCTCCTCCAGCAAACATTTAATGGGAGGAGGCCATGATTCAGAGACCCATTTGCTAAATCGCTGTCCAAAGCATCTTCCACCATCACTTAAACTTTTCTCCTTCCTCAACAGCTCACCTGGGCTGCCCTCTGGTCCATTGTTATGCTGCAGTTGGCATGGCCACCTATAGGCTGCCACACAAACTGCAGCATGATGACAGTCATACACAAATATAGATTAGAGAGAGATTATATAAAATACGCTATCGAAACCTGATGCATCTGGAAAAACAGAAGTGAATTCTTTGTTACACCTAGATTAGTTTTGGCAATCTGAACTCTGCTGCCCTTTTTCTAAAAGTGAAGTTACCCAAAACACTATTTTCTTCCTGTCTTTTCCCCTTGTCAAGTATGCCAGCCTGTTCTTAAGTATATGTGTGATCCTGCCATCTCTTCCCGCTTCTCTATTATATTCATGATGTTTAGCTTGTTAAATGTTGAATATCATCTGCCTTTTGGCAGGAGGTGGCGGGGAGGTAAAAACAGAGTCAAGAAGAGTGGGCATTTTTCTCATATTACACTGCTTAAGTGACATCTTCAGAAGGAAAAAACAACAACATAGGCTGTTGCACAATGGCAAGTCAAAGGGTTAAGAAATACTGCAGCAGCTAATTAGATAAGGAAGGTACTGTTCCAGCAATGGTACAAGGGGATAATGCTCTGACACCAGGACCTGGTCATACGCCAGACCCAATACTCAAATAGGAGCAGCCCACCTCTTATTCAATCTGGGTTGGTAGAGGGATAGGGCAGCTGTTGCTGGTTTCTCCATCATCATCCAAAGAGGTCAAAGATTGTCAGGTTCCTTGTAATTTTCACCTTCATAACCTTGGCTGGAAAGAAGCTTAAGCTTTCTCAGTCTGAAGGTCATGTGCCTCTTGATCAATACAAGTTCATGAATATGGAGGGCACTGTGCACCTATTATCTCATTAATGTGCACCCAAATGCACTTTATGCCTCCTTTGTCCAGAGACGGTTTTCATCAATGCCAGAAATGAAATCAACATGAAGGATGGGCTCTTGATATAGAAAATAGTTTGGTATACTTGGTATATGAAACAACTACTAAATTGCCATTATTTTTCAACCAGATATGGGGATTTTTCTTCATGCCTTCATTTTTCCTGTTTTAATCTTCTCCCTTGCTATGTGATGTTTTTTTCTCTTCACTCCCTCCCTCCCTCTCTCTCTCTCTCTCTCTCTCTTTTTCTTTTTACTTCTTTCAAGGTCGCCTGCTCCCACCTGCAGGAGTACATTTAATTTTTCACCAGAGATATCAGAAGTGTGTCTTATTATTCCTGGTATAAGGTTTTTGCCTGCTCATTTTATTCAACATATGCTCCGTTGCATCTGGCCCAGGCCTACTGGGATCACAAAGTGTTAAGACACCAAGACTGCCGGCAAGATGGCCCTCTGTTTTCTTATTAGCAATTAAGCTGATGAACATCAATTTCTGTGCGAGATCCATCATTTTCAGAACGATCAAAATGGCTCAGGAATGGTTTATGTTGGAAGCCTATGTAGCACTCTATTTAGAAACCTTTACGCCATCAGTTTGAAATTCTGTAGATTCTCATGTATGGTTTCACACTTCTTTTCCTCAAGGCATTGTGAAAATAGGAACTATGTGAGCACCTTTGACATCCCACTAAAGTTAATGTGAATCTGCCATTTATATTATAGATTGGGATTACATCCTTTATGGCTTGGCGTTATGAGCTACCTGGCTAACATCAGAACAAAGGGATAACTCGTTCCCTTGAGTCCTAGCACTTACTTTAGAGATGAATTACTAAAACAAGATCAGCTACTCTGTGGCATTACTAATTGCCCCTAGGGTAGGGGAGGCTAACCCATCGCCCTCCTGCCATTGCTGGACTTCAACTCCCTCCAGCTCCAGTTAGCATGGCCAGTAGCCAAGAGGGATGGGAGATGTGGCCCAGCAACTTCTGGAGGGTCAAAGGTTAGCCACTCCTGCTCTAGGTCTCCAATGGTCACTGTGTTGTGGAATGCTGAGCTGTATTTAGGGGAGAGAGGTTGTTGAGCCTGTGGTTCTGCTGCTGGCAAAACCACGCCAAAGCAGATTGGACTTAACAGGAACTGTACTGTATGAATGATATTTATTTAAAAGCATTTTTTATATGCCAATCAATATTTCAAAAAAAATCTTTATGCAGTGTACAATCTAAAAAAAACACCAATATAATGTTAAAATGAAAATATAACCTAAAACCAGGAACATAACAATATTTACAAAAGCTAATAAAGCATATTCAGAAGATTCAGACATGTAAAACAATGTCCAGTCTTACGTATCAGGGAAGGCCTGAGAAAAAGTATAAGTCTTCAATAAGACAGCTGAAGGTTGCAGCTTCACATATGGCAAAGCAAAGAGCGCTCCGCAGTACAGAGGAAACAGCAGAAAATACCACCCCACTATAATATTTTGTAGGGTGCGGTGCCTGGAGTGGAATTTCCCCAAATGATTTAAGTGAGCTTACAGGTCTATACAGAGGCTAGGTCAGTTGCCATTTCAGGTACTTTTGTGACACACCGTACCTTACTAACAATGTCATCACGCCAAGCCACTGCAGAAGGCCTCTGAGCATTTATGGATAGGTTTGCCCAAGGACCACCTAAATTGCAACCACCCCATTAGATTCCAGAATATTTAGTGGAACTATAGATTCCAGAATACAAAACAAATTCCCAAAGAGAGACACAAAAGTTTAGCAGGCATATGCTGGAACATGTAGGTCCGCCTAGGGCAGAATCAGGTGATTCAGTCTGCCTTTGCTCCAGGGTTTCACATCAAAACCAACTGTCTTGCAGAACAGACGTGGTTCACTGTCTACAAAGTCTTTCTCAAAATAATAAAAAACTCAAATTATTATGTTTATATGCTGCTTTCATCCAATATGATATACATGTGGTTCTAAAACAATGATCAGACTCAGGCCTGCATCCTTTTAGCAAGGTTGCAACATAATGCTACCTTCATGTCTTTGCTTGGGTCACAGCCAATATCTATTAAGGCTAAGCTTCTACTGAGTGATAATACTCATTTCATGATTTATGAACACTAGTGATTTATATTACAGTACGTTAGCCTTTTCCATTATTTGAAGAAAGGTGTTTCAGAAAAAATCTGGCAAAGCTATTATGCCATATAAAGATTTCTATAAATGTTAGAATTTTTCATGTGTTCCATTGAGAAAGAGTTTTTAATAATAATAACTGTTCTGGTTGGTAACACTTTGGATTGCCCACCTTTCTGACTACTACTTGGAAGTAGACCGATTGAATGTTTATTTCTGTTGAATGCAGATATTTATATATGATTGTGCTGTACATGCACATGGTGGAATGTTTGCCATTAACATGTTATATTAGCATAAGATTGTAACCCTTTGCTCATTACCTAGGAATAAGTCCCATTGTCCTCAAAGGGATTTTCTTCTGAGTAGACATTATTTGATTGCAATTTAAGGGAATGAAGGCATTTTACACTCTCTTTCTGCTATAAAAGCCCACAAGGAGCATTTCAGAAGCAATCAAAACAGCATAAAAATACCCAGAATAAGAACAAGTGAAGACTGCAAACCTGTACACACTTACCGTACCTTCCAGGGAGTAAGCCCCATTGTATGCAGCATGAGTTAGTTTTAAATAAATATGCATTGGATTGCACTGAAAAACATAAGCCCAAGCAGAGCTAAAAGCAATAACAGCTAATAAATCTCAATTGTCATTAGGTTTAATTGCATCCACTCTCTTCATCTTACAAATAGTAGCTAATAATTAGGGCTGTGTAGCCGATTTGTGCCAGATCTGGATTAGGTTGTGGCAGCTACAAATTGCTACAGAGCGGGTTCAAATCAATTTGTGCTGATTTGTGCCGATCCAGAACTAAAAACAGAAACAAAACACCAGCCTCTGTAAAGCTGCAAAGACTGTCTCCAACGTGTTTCAATTAATTACAACACCATTTAAGGAGAACACCAGGGTTAGGCAAAGACAGGAATTGGCTCATTGTAGAGTTGTAGAATTTCATTCAATACTCTCAAGCACAGTGTTTAGGAAGAGCGAAGGCAAAGTTTCAAGATGCAGCAAGCTCACACTTTTGTAAATACCGTTTCTTTGAAATAATTTGGTGGCATTTGTTCAGTTCCCTATCTGGCCTTATACCTGTTTGTTTCCCATCCTTTCCAATTCAATCCCAGCCTCATCCTTATACCAAAAAGAAAAAAGAAAAATTTGTTGTCTGTGTCTTAGCCATTGTTACATAGGCAGTGTTACTTTCCCTTATTCCCTCTGCTCCCAATTTTGGCCCTGGTTTTAAAGCTTAGGTTTGCATTTGATTTACAGCTGTGTCTGTTTCTATGTCCATCTTTATTGGTATTTTGGTGTGTGTGTGTGTGTAAGTCTTGTGAGTACATTGCACAGAGTCCAGTACACTGTTCATGGCCATGAGAGTACAAGATTCAGAATTATGGATCCAGATCTGGACTGAACTGGAATATAGGGCCATGGTATATTTCCTCACCGTGGCAGATTCTCCACTTCACTGCTGTTAATGTGAGGCAAAGGAACCAACAGTCAGAGAAGATTGTATTTGCTACTCAGTGTATATTTCCATGTCTCTTTCAGATCATTGGCTCTTCAATACTTGTGGTGCTAATGGACCTCAAGGGCCCACCCAGACCCAGTGCAATGATGCCTATAGGAACTCCAATCTCAGTGTAGTGGTAGGGACGGAGGATAATTTTCCAGGTGTACAAGTGTGGAGAGTGCCTGCAACCAATACTTACAGGTAAGAGTTCTATTATTTTCATTAGTTCCAGAGGCCTTTCCAAGCCTTTTCTCTGAAACCTATTATCCAAGCCAGGGCTCATCTCTTGAGCATGAAAAGTAGTAATGAAGAGTGTGTCTAAACTGCCTTCCCATTATCACCAAGGACTGGAGCTAGAGTTTGCCAAGTTTTAAAGAGGCACACATCTGCAATCTATACCATATTGTGCCTGCCGCAGTGACTGGCTTGAGGGCATGCAGTTGCTCAAG